CACAAAATAAGCCCATGAAGTAAGTACGTACTATTATCATCCCCACTTTAAGATGAGAAACATGAAGCACAGAAAGGCTAAATACCTTATCCCAAAATCACAAAACAAGTTAGATGGTACGGGAATGTGAACCTACACAGTCTGGCTCCAAGTTCATGCTCTTAACCAACTCTGCTACACAATAGTGTCCCTTGATTACCTCTAAGAGAACTCAAGCAGAAGAAAATAAAAGAAACAAAAAGATAAGATTGCAAAAAACATAGTGAATTACAGCATTCCTCATAACTGGTATAGCAAGAAAATAAACTTAACTGCTTCAAATTTGAGCATCTGTATCAACAAAGTCTAGTCTAAGACCTTTCTGTGATTAGTAAGAATGCTTCTTAAACAAGAAGCAAGTATCTTAGCACACAGAAGATTCCCAGAACTTAAAATAATATATGCCCGGAAATATTATTTTAGTCACATTTACATTGTTAAGAGTTATCACCAGTTTCTTATTAAAGAATTGAAGACTGGTAACAGAATCCTTTCTATGACTTCTAATAACTTGCTGTGTGTGCCAGTGGGTATTGGTTTGAGTGTGTGTGTGTGTGTAAATTAAATAGGAGGCTTTGTTTTTCAGTCTATCTGTGTTGGGTTGCCTGCTTCCTGCTTCATGGTGCTTAGTACTAATCACAGAAAGTTTCATCTTTACTAATGCAGATGTGCCCAGAAAAGGTATTTCATCATACGGCCTACATCATATGATCTCATTTGAGAAGCTGGAGAGAGAACATATATATATATAAAGAGTGAGAGGAAAGTGAAGGAGGGAGAAAAAGAGCAAGGAAGGTAGGGAGGGTAGGTGAGGAGGAAAGGTAGACAAAGACATAGCAGATAGCCTATAAGAATATAAACAAAAGTGGTAGCTGTTTGTCTTTAAAAGAAGAGATTATAGGTGTTGATGACAATGATTTTGTTTAGTGGTATTTTTCCACAATTAGCAAAAAAAATTTCTTTTTACAAAAAAATCACTTTAATTTTAATTTGAGGCCATTTGTCTCTAATGTACACCAGAAAACACTGGTTGTTTTTCTAACTTATAAGATACTATGTCTCATTATAAAATATTTTATGATTCTCTTATATTTGTAATAAACTCCCAAATTAAAAGTCTCTCTAGGGATTATATCATAACTCAACTAAATAAAGCTAAAAGGTGATTCCTGGAAGTATCTGCAACTGCTTCACCATCTTTTCAGAGCCAAACAGCTTCTAACTTCTCTATCATTTATAAATTCCAATTAATTTTAATCTCATATTTTCAAAAACAGACTATATCTCAAGCCTAAATAAGATGGAATAAGTTACAATTATGACTAAGGTGCATGGGTTTGTAAGTCAACTTAGGTGGAATCTCTGATTTTGGCTAATATAATTAGGTAATCTAATAATATTTAGTCATAATGTGACATTTGGGTTAACAATGAACAATAAATGTAATTCAACGAAGTTTATAATTTCAGACTTCATTTAAAAGACTCTCCTTAACAGACTTCAAGAGAAAGGAAGCTTATATGAGGACAGTAGTTGGCCTACACCTTAAGGTAGCAAGCAGATCTTCAGGTTAATTTTTACAATAGACACCTGAAACATGAATTTCACTAGACAGGTGAAAAGCCTTTCTGAGTTGTCGTAGTCAGTTCAAGCTGTTATTTAAAAAATACCAGAGAGTAGGTGACTTATAAACTTCACAGTTCTGAAGGGCAGGAAGTCCAAGATGAAGGCATCAGCAGATTCAGAGTCTGGTGAGGGAGCTCTTTCAGGTCTCTTTAATAAGGGCATTAATCCCATTCATGAGAGCAGAGTTAATCTAATCAACTCTCAAAGTCCCCAGCATCTAATACCATCACCTTGGAAGTTAGGATTTCAACATATGAATTTGGGGAGGTCACAAACAATCAGACCATAGCATGAGTTTTATAATTTACCAAGCAGAAGATATATCAGCAACTTCAGAAAAAATACTGCCCTATATAACTACACTGAATATACACAAAAAAGAATGTAGATTCTTTAAATACAAATGGCCACTTTAGGCAAATATAACTAAGGCCTCCGATTACCCCACTGCTTCTAGCAACTGTGTCCTCCTTATCCCTCCTCTTCACCACTGCTCCCTCTCCCTTAGGCAAGAGGTAAAACAGTCAACTGCATGGCAGCTGTCTGGTTATGAAAAGAAAAAAATATTTTTAAGAATTACCTGTGGCTTTATTTAGTTGCATTATGACAGAATATGATATAATCTGGAACATGAAGGGAAAAGGATACTTGTTTGGTTCCATTTTTTATTCATTTAACCTTTTTAGACTTTTTTATCCAGTTTTCAATGGCCGGACTAGCAACTAGTTAAGAATAAGGCTGACAATTGAGAGACAGATAGCCAAATCTTGCTGCTTAGGGAATTTAGGCCAATATATTTCTTCCCTTCTCACTCTGCTCTCATCCCCACCCATCTACCTACATCTAAGCCCCGACAGTGCCCATCCAACTTATACCTTCAAGACCTCTTCTGTAGTCCTACTTACTGTGCCACCCCAATACCCTTCTAGACAAAAATAGCATCACAGTGAGGAAGAGACAAAGAAGGAGAAAAAATAGTGAAAGGAAAGCCTCAGTTTAAACCACAGTCCCTCTATCCCTTGGCACTTTAGTTTGTAATATTAGTCCGTTTTATTTTATTCTGTTTTTAACCATTCTTTCTCTAAGTTTTGTTTTTAATCATTCTCTCCAATTCTATTCTTCTATTCCCTCACTTTCGAAACTCTAGCTTCAAACATGGGACTCTATGGAGTAGCTCAGGAACTAGATAATCCCCATCCTTCCGCTTTAGCTCTAACATATTCAACATAAATCTGTTTTCCCAAAGATACAGTATCATAAATATTATTTGTTTTATAGTACCACTGGCCCTATACCCCACATACATTTTATGGATTCATTTATAGGTTAACTAACTTTGAAGGATTGGCTTGGAAACATAAATACAATTTTTAAAAAATATTTTCTTGTCAAAGTATCTGTTCTAAGGTCTCATAGCCATAGGGATAATTTTATGAATGAAAACTTTAGAATAAAAGAAGCCAAGTAACTTGAAGACCACAGAATTAGTAAGTAGTAGAGCCAAAACCTAACGAGAGGTCTGTTCTGTGTGGCACTGAAGACTGTAAAATTTCTATTACACCATGGAATCTCCTAAAATACATCTATGTTTTTCACTAAGTCAATGAAAATTCTGAAAAGCTAAAAATTTTATTTCTAATCATTAAATGTTTTAAAGTTAGTATCATATATTCAAATATTTACTGGGTACTTATTTACCCCAAATTCCCTAAAAATAATCACCAATGCTAATAAACTATTACTGAAATCATCAGGAAAAATATATTTAAATTATTTCAAGGATTTATCACTGTTGTTAGAAATTTACCATGATTTATTATTTCTCATACCTATAATATTTGATTTGATGAGCCTTCTGGAAAGGTAATGGATTTTTATATAAAAGGGGAATTTTCTCATTGCTCAAAACAGAAATGCTTTATTGAAAAATGCTTTGTCAAAATCTTCTGTGAATTGTAATTTTCAAAACAGAAATAATTTCATTTTTCATAACTACTAAAGAGTAAACTGAATTTATAGGAAGAATTATTCTTCTGTCAATAATATAAATACAATTTGTAGAACTTGGAACAAATTACTTCATGATCTATTGCTACTATTAAATTCTAACTAAATTGTAGCTTACATGATTAAATAAAAAATTAATAAGACTGTAAGTACCAATTTGATGTAGATCAACAATGCTAACAGAGGTTAAAATTGTAATGGATCAAAAGTGTACACCAGGCTATTAGTATTAAAAAAAAAATAAACTATAATTATGACTCATCCTTTATTTTAACTGCAGACCACTCTCAATTCAAAAAGAGGCTCCTATACCCAGTAAACCTCAGGACTACTGTGGGACTAGAATACTGGCAATTAATGATAATAGTATGTTAATGGTGTAAACTTTTCACTGAGTTAACAACCTATGGAAATCATCCACTTCACATTTTAAAAACTAATTTAAAATTCCATTTATATTCATGAAAACAAAACTGCAGCAAATTTTGAAAGGAACAAGCCACTAATGACATGATTCCATTAAGTCTTTCCTTTAGGAGTTGCACTTTAAGTGCATTCTATTTCTCGTACCGTATTTCCCTTTGTCTTCTACTAAAAAAAAAAAAATAAACATTTATATTAATTATAAGATGTCTGAACAATTTCTTTATCTAGGCACAAGCATCTCAAAAGCTGATAAGCAAAAAGTGAAAATAGATTTGCCTCAACTTTCATCTATAGATGGAGTACATTGCTAACCAAATAGGCAAACTAACTTCCTCCCACCAAAAAGAAAGTCAGATTGACATGATAACAAGCTTTGCATTCTCAGAGAAAATGATTTAAACATTCATGAACCAATGTTTTTCTCACCTTTTCCATTTGCTTTGAGGAAAGCAAGTCCTAATGATCTCTATACTTTCCTTCTTTTCATTAGGCAAATTTGGCATTCTTTGGCAAGCTCACTTGGCTTAGCTGCCAATTATGGAACTGCCTGTGACCTGTATCTTCTAAGCATAGATGGTTTCAAAAGTCCATGTCTATTTATATAACAACTTAATTTACCTCTTAAGAATGACAATGAATTTAGGAAACCAAAAACATTAGATTTTTCCATTTCCTACCTCTTCTACACATCAGTCCTCTTTCATTTAAACCATGTGTCCAAGAATTTCAAACAGAGTTTCAGTTTCTTCCTAATCACTTATCATGATCACTTCCAGACAAGTAGATTTAATAATCCACCCATATATACTGACATTTTGAACCACATCATAGACTCTCTCTTCTCTTTCCAATTCCCCAACTTGTCACTGTCTCCTTCTTGTACAATAAGAAAAATACAAAAGAAAAACACTTAATCCTGTAATAACTTGCCCTACTCTTCTATTCTCAAACTTCTTGTGTTTACTATACTCATTTTACTTCCTCATCTCACATTTTTTTATATTTTATTTTTTCTAACTTTATTGACAAATATAATTGCATATATTTAAAGTGTACATGTCACATTTATTTCTTACTCAACTACAGAAATTTCTCTAGCAGGTGACCACTGACCACCAGATTGCTAGAGCAAATGAATACTTTTTAACACATACTTTTTACTGAATATATCTACAGCAATACTACTAAAGATAATGTCCTCCTTTCTGAAATTCTCTATTTTAATTAACTTTTTTTCCTAGTTTAAAAACAACAATCACTACTTTTAACTCTACTTTTTCTAAGGTACCAATCGCTGTGCCAGGTGCTCACGTATTAGCTCAGTGTTTTCAGTACTAGCTACCCATGAGGTGAACCCAGCTTTTTAAATAAATAAATTAGATTAGAAAATATCCAAATGTATTAAATGTAGTAAAGTTAAGTATGATTCTGGGAAACTGAAGTAAACTGAATTTATATTCACAATATAAAAAGTGTGTGCGTATATTCACAATATAAAAAGTAGGTCTTATTTTAGGTCACATCCAAAAAGTTTAAAAGACATAATGTCTTATTTAATCCCCAAAACCCGCTAGGTCTATATAATATTTAACACTTTTTAATAAAGAAACAGGTATACACAGAAGTTATGTAATTTGTCTAAAATTAAACTGCTAGTATGACAGTCAATAAAAGCTTCTATTTTATCTCCTGAACTCCAAATATCCAATTATGTCTATGTATTTCTATAGGAATGTCTAAAAGCATCTCAACCTCAGCATTTGCAAAAGCAAATATCCAATTATGTCTATGTATTTCTATAGGAATGTCTAAAAGCATCTCAACCTCAGCATTTGCAAAAGCTGTACTCAGCTTCCATACATCTTCTAATTTTCTCATCTGCCAAGGTTTTGTTTTTCTACATCCAAGCAGCAATCTTCATATCTTAGCTAAATCCACTCTTCACCACATCATTACCATAACTCTCAGTTATGTCTTCATCATTTGTCTCCTGGATAACTAGAATGGTACCCTCCCATTACTTGTCATTATACCCCCTCCAAACCTCCAATTCACTCTCTATATTACTAGAAGTAACCTCTTCAAAATAAAAATCTAGTTATTTAAGGCAAACACTCTTAACCCTAAAGTAAAACTTTTATGCTCTGAATGCCATATGTAATTTTCTAGACTGGATTTCTGTGTGTGTCTAGGCAACACTTTAAAAAATAGAACCTAGCTAATATTTAAAGGACTATCATTAAAATTATGAAATGGCTAAAAGACTCAGATCAAAAGTTCTTTACTTACTGTTAAAGTTATTTCAAAGATATTAAGTTAAGTTTATCTAAACAGACTACAGAACAATCATAAATGTCTTTCACATAAGAACTGCAGGTTGTGCAGCCAATAAATAGTGTCATTTTCTTAAATACACACACTACATCTTTGTCTTGAAACTAATGAAATGCTTTATTATTTGTGCCTTCAGAGTTGAATTGACCAGAATTCATCAAATGGTAGGTATCACTACTGTTTCTAAGTCTGTTTAAAACACAATAAACTTTAATTTGCACTGGTTTCTAACTAAAAATGCAATGCTTTTCAATGTTTATATCAGATTGAGATATGTCTATTGTGAATCGTCATATAATCTGTAGAGTCTGTGCTATGACAACAAGTCTGAGCCTTTATATCTACATAACAAACTCAGATTTGTTGCTGCCTCTGAAAAGGCAGGTGGAAAGGATTTCTAGCTAGCTATTCACTAGGATGGGATCGAAGCTGTCATAATATGCTTTATAATACTGTTTTAAATCAAATCATTTAAAGAAAAATGAAGCTGAATTATTTCTTTTTAAAAAATATTAGTGTTCTTCATACACAGATACCTAATGTAGAAAATAAAACATAATTTTTAAAAGTGCTACATGTTTCATTACTTTTTTGTGAGCAAGATTAAGTGTAATAGTTTTGATATGATGTTTGTGTTGTTGATTCTTTCCTTTGCTTCTCGATTAAAACAAAAGAGAACTACTGGTTCAAAAGAAACTCATTTCTTTTCTCTACATGACTGCTGGGATGATCCCAGTCAAACCTGAATCAACAACTATGATTAATTCTTTGGCTTGAAAAAAACATAGATTGTTTTACCCATAAATACATATTTGAAAGTAAAGAAATATTTTAAAGGGATGCATGAGACAAAATATTTTATAAAATTTTCAACTATAATTTCCGCTTGACCTAAATTGATAGTGACAGATAATGCTCTAAGGCGAAGCTATGATGGTAATATACAAAATAATAAAATGAACAAAAGAGGCAGAACCATTATGAAGAATGCTCACTGGGGTTGTATAGAAAGACTTCTTTCAAAACATCTTCAAAATATTGTACCGCAATTCCTAACAGAATCCATAGTATGTTTTGGTATTAATAGATAGCTGGATGGCTGAATGGCCAGCTGGTTAAGAACTAGAACAAAACTAGAACTCTCTCTTCACACATCGCCACCATTCTTCATCCCAAGCCTCAGAAATGTTCCCAGGATTCCATCTGAATGTAAGCTTTATTTTTGGTTTACAAATTAAAAATCAAGATCACCATGTGTGAAATAATATATGTGAAAAAAACTATGCCTGTAAAAAAAAAAAACTATTAAATGCTATGCAAAAGTATGATATTTTCTCTATATACTTTGATAACCATAATTTGAGTACTAAGAACATTGGGTTGCTTCGTAAGTAAATTCATACTATAATCATCACATCATATCACTTTTAGAAAATACTTATGAAACTATTTCCTCAAATTTCTCTTTTAAAAAAAATTGGCACCTTTTCTCTCTATTGAAACAGGGTCTTGTTTCTCTTTTTCCCAGTTATGGCTTAGGATAAAAACATATGTGGACTCATTTCTAACATAAGATGTTTCCCTTATTCTCTTCTCAAAGGAAGTTACCATAAATGGAGTGCTGGGGATGATATAATTTGATGTTTTCTTATTCAGTTTTATACAATTAAAACTAAAATAATTGTTAATAAATGTAATAAATGTGTCCTCAGATATCTATATTTATATAATAAAATTGAATCTTAAGAATAAAATTTTCTAATGCCATTGGCTCTGTTAACTGCTATGTACAACAATATTGTTTGTTCATTCCGAACACATAACAAACATATAACGTTGTTTTGTTTGGTTGTAGTACTTTATAAATAGTTTTACTTTACCATTTACCAAACCTCTTTTTTTGAGTTATTCAAACTAACTTCTGCCAAGAACACTAGGAATTTGGTGATAGCGCTTCTTTCAGGAGAAAAACAACCCCTTTCCTCAGAAAATTAAAAATGTTTATCTTGGCACTAAAACCTTGTATTGAGCCTTCTGGAAAGTATTTTAAATTGTTGTTTTTAACCTAGACTTTGTGACTGAAACAGGAAAAGGCTCTGTAGCTCTGCACCAAAATACGTATTTATAGGGTTGATTTTCTTTCTACACCAAAAATACTAGGTTATGGTAGCAGTTTTCAAAGAACCATGCTAAAAATTGAGCATTATCACTATATTCAATACACAGTGTTTTTTAAACCTCAAAAACTTCTGATGACTAAGAAATGCTAAATGTTGATCAAATATGCTGTCTTTAAGTGCCTTATTGAGAAGGACTGTTTCATTTAACTGCCTGTTCTGTTAGGAATTTTCACAAAAAGATTTATTTGATATTGTACATTCTTCCTGTGTATATCAACAAAAGACATGTTTCTAAGTAGTTATCTTTTTTACATTGGTATGCTTTATCTCTTCAGACTAGACAGAACATAAAGATAAACCATGTAAGCTTTTTGCAATACTTGCTAATAATGTGTCTGAATACAATTATGAAGTTTTTGGAAACCGATAAAATGAAGTAGTCATTGTTCTTAACTCCTCTACCCTACCCCGAAATTATTAAAATATAAGAGACCACAGACATTGTAGAGTGAGTGTGTATGAAGCTATGTATTAAAATGGCAGGTCAAACAATTTCACAAAGAGCACCAGAGAGCTGTAATGATTTTTCAGTCACTAATAACTGACATAAAATACAACACATCTCATTATCAATTCTTTGCAGATCAAGTCCTCCCTACCTTGAAACTATCCATTTTTTCCCCCTTCTAACAACCTGGCTTTCTCTTTACAAGAATTATAGCAACATCATCATTTTATATTTGCATATAACACATTTGATAAAGTCAAAATAAGTTAAAATTATATCAGTATGCTTATCAAGTATTTATTTAAAATGTTCTGACAGAAAATTAGTTGTTCAAAAATTCTGGTATGGTTGAATTATTTAGGTTAAAAAAGATAAATATATCTACCAAATATATCTTATTAAAATCCATTACTGCCTTTGTCAATTAAGTATA